AGCTAAGCGCTCGGATGTAGTAATTGTGGCCGGTGACTTTAATGCTCAAGTAGGTAAACTAAGCGATAGGGAGAGACACCTGGGTGGATCTTACGGTGTCGTGGCTCAAAGAACAGATAATGGCGACCGTCTGTTGCAGCTATGCTCAGATAACCGCCTGTTCCTTGCAAATACTAACTTTAAACATAAGGAAAAACATCTTTTAACATGGAGACCCCCTAATTCGTCCCAACGTTGGACCCAAATAGATCACATCGCTATCAGCCACCGATGGAGGGGCTCGATAGAAGACTGTCGCTCATTCTGGGGCACATGCCTAGATTCAGATCATGCTCTAGTGCGAGCGCGTATTTGCTTGCGTCTTACTGGACGTAGGAAAGACACTACAAGAAAACCTCTTAGGGGCCTACTTAATGATAGTCAAGCTAAGAGTATATTTCAGGAACAACTAGGAAAACAGTTAGGCAGCCATGTATGTGATGCCCACCCCGATGCAGCATGGAATGATATCCGAAAAGCTGTGGAAACAGCAGTGATATCTGCTAGTAAGGTAAACCAGAAGGTTAGGGAGCAACACTGGATCTCAGCAGCATCTATCTCACTGATAGATGCTCGGAAACTCATTCCACCTGGCTCTGAACATAATGAAGAGCGGAGTCAGCTTAAGCGCAAGCTGACCAGAAGCCTACGCAACGATCGCGAACAGTGGTGGGTAGCGAAAGCAAGACAGATGGAAAAGGCAGCGGCAATAGGTAATAGCAGACAATTGTTCAGACTCGTTAAGGAAACCGGAATTAGGAACCCGACCGTTAGCGAAACAATCTCAGAGAAAGATGGACATATTATTCATTCTCAATCCAGGAGATTGGATCGATGGGCAGAACACTTTAGGGATCAGTTCAACTGGCCTTCAGCCACACTTCGGTTTCCCACGATCTCTAGTCAATCTGAATGGCAAGTTAATGTAGGTCCTCCGACTTTTTACGAAGTTGAAAAAGCCATAGGAAATCTGAAACGAGGGAAAGCAGCAGGCCCTGACAGGTTTACTCCTGAGATTTTTAAGGATGGTGGTCCAGTATTAGCAATGAGATTAACCGAGGTCTTAAGTAGAATTTGGGAACTGGACGTAATCCCATCTGACTGGTCTCAATCACTGATTGTGCCAGTCTATAAGAAAGGACAAAAGTCCTCTTGTGACAATCACAGAGGAATCAGTTTGACTAATATAGTGTCTAAAATATTAGCTTCAATAATACTTCGACGCCTAATCAAAGCTCGTGAAGAGCAGACTAGAGAAAATCAGGCTGGTTTTCGACCTGGACGTGGTTGTATAGATCAGATATTCACACTACGTCAGGTTCTAGAACACAGACACACATTCAGACGCCCCACAATGGTAGTATTTCTCGACCTTAAGGCGGCATTCGACTCTGTTGATCGTGAGGTTCTATGGCAGTGTTTGTCACTGAAAGGAGTACCAAAGAAGTACATTAACCTTATAAAGGCTCTCTACTCGAACACAACTGGTAGAGTGAGAGCTTATGGCGAACTGTCATCAGAATTGATTACCTCAAGTGGTGTTCGTCAGGGCTGTCCACTCTCCCCATTCTTGTTCAACTTTGTCGTGGACATACTTCTAGAGATAACACTTTCCTCATCTAGATTTCCAGGGGTTGAACTTCTACCGGGAGGTTCACTTGTTGACTTAGAATATGCTGATGACATAGTTTTATTTGGTGAAGACGCTGACAAAATGCAGAGTCTTCTGACCACTCTAAGCAACAATACAAGCATGTTCGGGATGAGATTCTCTCCCTCGAAATGCAAAATGTTGCTTCAGGATTGGGTTACATCGACACCCGAACTAGTGATAGGGAGTGAAGTAGTTGAGTGTGTCGACCGCTTCACTTATCTTGGAAGTCTGATCAGCCCTTGTGGTCTGGTGTGTGACGAAATCTCAGCACGGATACAGAAGGCTCGACTAGCTTTTGCCAACTTGCGTCATTTATGGCGTAGGCGAGATATCCGTCTATCAACCAAAGGACGTGTTTACTGTGCAGCAGTTCGTTCCGTCCTACTTTATGGCAGTGAAACATGGCCGGTAAGAGTAGAGGATATCCGTAGGCTACTAGTATTTGATCATAGGTGTCTTCGAAACATTGCTCGTATATCATGGGACCATCGATTAAGTAACACAGTTGTTAGAAAACGGGTACTAGGTAAGGATGGCAAATCAATTGATGACGTAGTGAAACTTCATCAGTTGAGATGGCTGGGACACGTGTTACGTATGCCCAACGACCGACTGCCTCGACGTGCTATGTTCAGTGGTATAGGAGTAGGTTGGAAGAAAGCTAGGGGCGGCCAAACCAAAACATGGCACAAGTCCATGAAGTCACTGACAAGTGAACTGAGTCATGTTGGTAGGTGTAGACTACCTGGTTGGGGACCGCGAGATGATAGCAACCGATGGTTAGAGACCCTGAATGACATGGCTCAAAATCGTTTGCAATGGCGCAGGTGCATCCACTCTCTGTGTTCTCTCAAATTCTAATCTTCTGAATTCTTCATGTCCCTTTTTTCCTCTTTCCAAATTTATTTCACTGGATTATACTCTATAAATAACATCTCCAAACCCTAATCTTACCGATTACTGCTTATACTCTTGCTACCTCTACCACTATGGGATTTGAATGGACAACTGCATCTCTGTGCTAATGTGGTGTGGCAACTCGAACTGATGTACGTACGTACGAAGTTCTACGTTGATACTGACTGACTGACTGAGTCACCATGTAGTGACCAATGCCATGTATGTCAGTCCTTCTTAGTGCTGATAGAATTCTGTCATTCAAGTTGCAATGTGGGCACTAGTCTAAGTGACTCGACATTTCGTATACTATGTTGAGATGTAAAGTGGTGGTCGGAGATAGTCACCAGGAAACGTTGGACCTAGGTTTCGCGCCATTTGCTATTCAGTCACAAGATGTGCCTGTAATCTTGAGGGAACTAATGCTCTCTGGCGGATTCGATCCCATTTCACTTAACTTTAGTCAGAGATATTACCATTGAGCTATGTCAGCCGGAAATAGCCTGTCGTAGGACTGAGACGTATTCAAGGTTGGTTGACCACCGGGTAGTGACCAATGTTATGTATGTCTACAGTAATAAAATTCACAAGATTTTGGGCGTACTTGGATTTTATAAATCTTTAATACTAACCTTAGGCTATTTCAGTTAATAGTCTTTGCCACAGACCTACAGAATCCTGGTGTAGTGTCTTCGTCTGAAAAACTTGATAACTTTTGGCTCTCGTAATTTTAATCGACCATTGTGTCAATAACCTCTATGTCAGTGGTTAGAACATACATGAGGTCTTCAAAGAAAATCTTTTAACACATTGTGTCTTAATGTTATTAAACACAAGTGATATGACTAGTCTCACCCATGGTAAAAAGCAAACGCTTCTAAACTATCATAAATTTCTAAAAAGCCATTAGGTTGTATATCAATAATCCGTCGTAGAACATTCCGTATATATGCGATTGAAATATGTTTACTGTATCTATTTTTAAATCATTATTTATGGATTTATCATTTGAATAGAGTATGATGAACTGAATGCTCAACTGGATGCATTGTCAAAGTGCTTAGATATATTGGAAGCAAAAAGTAAAAAAGTATGCGACGAAGCTAAGCGTCTTGTTATTGAATACAGAAGTCAAAACTATGAAACATCATCTTGAATTATTTTCAACATACACTTATCACATAAATATTCTGTGTATTTTTTTCTTCATTCATAACACTTAATTTCTCGAAAGATACTTTTGTTGTAATTGATTTTCTCATATTCCCATTTGATTTGTCAAATAACTGGTTTCATTATGTTACAATACTTTTATTTACACATCTCCAAATGATTAATGAAGTTTTATTAGACGGTTATTCATCTTAAAAGTTATGATAATCAAATTAATTATATAATATCTATACCTCACACTTTTTATATGTACTGTCTTAATAACTGACAGAGTGAACTAACGACTATATATGTAGATGAATATGCAATTTTCAATACGAATTATGCTATCATATTCGAGACATTTTATTTATTGAAATTTAAAGATAATGATTTTCAGCGATAATAATAATAATACGGAAACCGTGAATTGAATTAAATGACCTTCACTAACGGTAAGCACCAATTGTACTATAAAACCCGATAACGAACATAAATTTGAATCCAACACCATTATCGATTCATCTAATCTGATGATGTGTTTTGATGAAATTACGGAACAACAACAACCCTTAGATAAGTGAGTAGCTAAACTAACTTATTTACTCCTCCTAGAGTCCCTCTGGGGGCTACTGCCGGTCCCAAGCCCCGTTAGCGACCCCATCCCGTAGAAAACTAACTCGCTAAGAAACGCTAACCAGAACTATTCAAGCTAAACTAAACTTGATATTATAATATTTGATGCTATAGGAGTAAAAACTTACAATTTTTAAAGTCAGTCAGCTACAACGTAGGACCAGGCACATATATGTATCGGTCCAAGTTGCCATAACTCATTAGCACAACAAGATGGACACCGGATTCATAAAAGTAGTTAATTCAGTGGTGGTAATATATAAAAGAAAGATTGCATATAAGGATATAGTACAGGAAGAAAGAATTAGTTCGTAGAAAGAAAGATATGAAGCGATTCTAATCTCTTAGGTTAAGGGAACACAGAGAGTGTATACACCGACGCTATTGTGACCGATTCTGAGCCATGTCACCAAGAGTCTCCAACCATTGGGTACGATTGTCACGCGGACCCCAACCAAGTAGTCTGCATCTCCCAACATGGCTCAGACTAGAAGTTAATGACTTCAAGCACTGATGCCACGTTTTGGTTTGGTCGCCCCTAACTTTCTTCCAACCATCTCCAACACCGGTTAGCATCGCACGTCGTGGTAATCGGTGTTCAGGCATACGTAACAAATGGAAATAAACAATATTTTGTATTTGCATATATTTATATATAGAATATTAAAAAAAACACAGTAGTGATTATAGTATAATCCAAGTTATTTAGAATAAAAGAATACGGAAAACAAAGTATTTGGAACCACGAAAAACAACAAATAAATGAAACTGATAGTTATATGTATATATATATTTCAATGCACAAGACGGAAAAAATATGCACCTTATATAAACTAGTGTGATATAAATAAAAGTTAGAATGATAATAATAGTTTTAGTGATACTAATAAATAATTGATTCACTATAGAATATATTATATTGGCAAAATAATCACATCAAATATTTCCTCAAGAAAAGAAGAATACAAAAAAGTTATCGTCTTATCGAATAGTCATATATTCGGATGGTATAATAATTGTTTATGTGTGTACCACAACTTTTCCTCTTTTGAAATATAAGTCCTCCTATCAGTTAACAAAGTTTACTGAAGCATGACTTTTAACCTATTTCTAATGACTTTTTCTCATATATTTTTTTTTCTAAAAAGAAGTTATAATTTTAGCTTAAAGAAAGGAGGAAATAGTGTCCGTTAAGAGATTGAATAAAAATGAACAACACATACTAACAGGAAAAGAATTGTTTAATTCATTGTAGCACTAACAAAGAATCCAAGTGTTTCACTACACCTGCAATCCTAAACACCAATACGCTGAAATTACATATTAAGAACAAACCTAAAAGAAAAATTTCTTACCTATGGAAAAATATCTGTGTCTAATTCAAAGAAGGAATTGGCTTAAATACTGAACAAGTAGAGTATTACAAGGGAAAATAATGAAACTATAGAACTAGTGAAAACATGTCTTTCTGATCCATGCAAACAAGATAACATCGTGTACATTAAAGTTTTAGAGAAATCTAGTGCAATTTTAACTTTTTTCTGTTTCAACAAAACTTTGCTTATTAAGAAGTAGAACAAAAAAATATAGGTACATATATTGAGAAGAGGGTGAATAGTGAGAAAGTGTCGCCAAAGGAAACAAATTAGTGCTTTAACTCTAAAAAAAAGTACAAATTAGTAATAATCGACAACAACAACAAAATAAATAAAACAGCCGAAATTACTACGTCTAGAAAACTGGGTTTGAGCACACTTGTACAGTGGAATTCAATCAGATAGACACGGACACAAAGTTTGAGATATTATTATAGTAGGAAAAATTGGTCGTTTCAGAATACCATCCAGTTTTTAAGTTCATGTAGAATATTGACGTTTGGCTATTACAACACACACATCCGTAGAGTTTCCACAAACAGTTCAAAATAGGCAATGTAAACATTATTATTATTAGTGATACTGCTAATAATAGTAGTGATATATGTAAAACAATAGATCATGGGAGCTGTTTACTTATGTGGAGGAATAATAATTGAGTGACGCTTGATTCCAGAGGAGCTTGTTTTCCAATAACAAAACAGTCGTGGACGGTAAATATTAACTGAAAAAGGGGAAGAGTAAATGTTAAAAGACCAAAAAATCAAGTATGGATTTGTGTTTGATAGGTATGTAAATGTGGAAGACTTAAGTTGACGAATCCATCGGTTGCCCGTTACCTAATGCATAACCTGTAAAAAATGTACAAAAAACTGGTCGTAAGTAAATTCACGAAGAAAATAAGTAAATGATTAATAGGAATACATACATATACATATCAAGGTTGCTCAACAGTCATTCATTTCCATGTGCTAAGATTTACAATTTGTTTTACTCTCGTGAAATTTATTTTCACCGCAGACCACACAACAAATGAATTCCAAATTTGATCGCTTTTTACTTTCGCAAACAACATATGAGGGTAATGTACTAACCTTGACGGTTTTCATTTTCACGGTAGATTATGTTTTCGAAAATGAAACTGACTAGATACAAATGTTTAACATTAATTAGTGGGTCAAAGGCAAACCTAAACCAGGGAAACGTATTGTAATTATTGCACAGCTGAAAAATAGGTGACCTGATATCTGACCAAGCCCGTAAAAAATAATAAGCAATACATGAAAGGAGTTTGTTCCAGTTAACTTATAACAGATGCCGGAGTTAGGGTTCTCATCACAAAGTGACATCAACTATAATGTAAGAATCGTTCGTAGCCAAATGAATGAGTTTCGCGCCAATATATACGAGGTACTACCTTAAATCTGATTGGCTCGTCCATAAAAAGTATAGCACAACTTCAAAAACTTCCAGTCTGTTTTGAAAAATCCAAAAATCCTGTCATCAATGTGTTATGTATTTTAGGTCTATTTGTTTTCTACGGTTTTCGTGGAAAACTAATAAATTTCTCATTGGTACTCCAAGATTCGTTATTAGTTATCAGTTTTGTGACGAGTATTAGTCTTTTCAGTAAAGAAATATCGGTAAATTTCGCTGAGCTTTTACATAGTCCTAAACAATTTACAAGCTGTTCATCATTCGATGTCGAATTTAGCACTGAAATCTGATAGTAGTTATCATGAATTTGATTAGTTTGACCGTGCAATATACTTATACCATAATTCTTAATTATTACCATATAGATGGCAAAAGGCAAAATGAAAAACGGATCACTTACGTTGTGGTCCCCAAATACATAGTTCACCAGCATCATTCACTGAAGCGATCATTGTAGGCAATACAGGATTCCAATGAACACATGTGATTGGATCTCTGTTTCCTATACCAGGCGATGAATGTATAGGATGACTACCACTACCGACATGCCAAATGTGTATTCGACCATCTTTAAGAAAAATAATTATTTAGACGCAATAATACAGGCAAGCACATGTTCAAAGAGATAAAGGGATCAAATAAATAGAAGTAATTTGCAATATTAATAACAATAGGACATGTAATACACAGTTCAGAAACTTACCAAATATGATGTTCATTATTATTGACCAAAGTTTAATAACTTCCCAAATTATATGTTATGCACAAACTTCCGAGTAAGTTCGGATTACACATAAATAAGATAGACATTTGGTAATGTAACTACGCGGTAGTCACGTAGAGTGTACTAAATGATGAGGTATGCAACTAATTTAACGAAGGTAGAACAACTGCTTGAATTAGGGGGTTCTGGTGATCAAATTAGAAATTAGTGGTTGAAAGTAGTGAGCTATACCATCGCAACTGAACAGTCAACAAGCGTTCAGGTAACAAAATCACATTGTAGCGATGCATATATTAAGTACAGATTGGCTGTTCAGCATTTATTTTATTTGAAGATAACAGGCTTTCTATCTTGTTCAAAATTCAATTAATTCAGATCAACATTGATATGGATATATACAATTTTTTTTACGTCGGATTTATGATGAATATGATAAACAGTGAATGTAGTTGGTTTAATTCATTTCAGTAAATGAACTTCACATAAGAAGGATATCGAAGTTTTAATTTTGAGGGATATCCACACAAAAATCGAACATTTAACGTTTAGTTAGTGCATAATATTTTCAAGTGTTCCTTTTTTTTCAAAACGTGACTTATGTACTTTATGTGGTCTTTTCTTCGACAGAAAAAACAACCCACTTATTTCATAGTATAGTAGTAAAAATATTTTAAACTTCTGTCATATACACTATATGTGAGTTTACAAAAGTTAGAGTTTCATGCTACCCAACAATACTTGAACCAGGATCTAAACTTAATTTCATCATTAAACGTTCGATTCAACTAGGAGACTCCCCCTGTGAAAAATATGTAGTTTTAGCAAAGAATATATATAAGTTATCAGTAGGGGGATTTACGGAATACTATTGAAATTACGAACCAAAAACCCAGGAGCAATGGACAGCTGTTTAGTATGAGCATCCACAACCCTACCGAGGAACGAACCCAGAACCTTTAGGCCTCATGGGGAGAGCCTAACTATTAGACTACTGACCTGGTATCTGATGGCGTTGATGTCTAACTTTAATCGATCCCCGATATTGCGCGCTCACTAATGACTACCTTCAAGATAAAAATTTCGGGAGTTTTAGTCAGAAGCTGTGATCAGCGTATGGAAAATGCGGCAGGTACCTACTGATAATCATGCAATGCCAGAATTAACTGAAGTTAGACATGTAAACCCTAGATAATTGGTTTAAAGCCTATGCTCTCGCCACAAGACCTGAAGGTTTTGGGTTCGATCTTCGGTGGGGTTGTAAACACACACTGCTTGAGGAGCCACATAATAGAATTGAACAGATGCTCAATGCATCCGGGTTCTTAATGCTTATCTAACTTAGGTTGGTTTGTGATCTTAATGACATAATCTAGTTGAGTCAGTAAATGCTAAATGATAAAAAGTTACGTAGAACATGAAACAGAAAATAATGGATTTCATGTGGGTTAAACATGTATATATCTGTATATTTATAAGGTCATATAAATTAAAGATAATACTAACTGTATGTGCACGTATGTATTAATTTTGCAGTAAGCATATAGTGTCAGTTGACAAATCATAGTCATGTGAATACAGTATGAAACAGAAAAATGTTAAGTACTAGTAGCAGTAGTAATAACATAATGTAATGTACATGTTTCATAATAAGGGAGGGAAGAGTGGACAAACATAAAAACAGAAAGGAAACACTTCATGTATTGGATGACCCTGAACGAAGATCAATATCTGTGTAAGCGAAAACAACACCTATTTTGTAGTTTATGAATAGTACAAACGAATGATTCATTTTACTCGACCATAAGGAAAAACTGAATTCAATGAAATTAGATTGTTACACATAATTTACAAAACAGTCTTTCCAAATTCACTTTGAAAATGTGAAATTCTACAGTTGAGGGTTGTGTTGATCGAATAATTTTAAGTTCTTATATTGATCAGAATACATAAATGGTCATCATTCTTTCTTTCTACCAAGTGATTTTTTCTTTCTGTACTATATCCTTATATACAATCTTTCTTTTATATATTACTACCATTGTAGTAACTACTTCTATGAATTTGGTGTTAATAATTCGGTGCTAATAAGGTGTGGCAACTTGGACCGATGCATATATGTGCCTGGTCCTATGTTGTAGCTGATTGACTAGCTGAAATGATCATCACTGTTGCATTTATGTTATCAATATTAATTAAAGTCAAATGATATTAAACAATAAAATCAGTCAGTAATATGCAACATAGAACCTGACACTAATGTATATCGGTTTAAGTTACCATATCACTTTAGAATATTGAGATGAAAATACCAAAACAAGTATCAGAATAATAGAAGATATTCGGTATAGACGATGCCTGTAAACTGGGATGAATTCTGTAGTTATTATTTTCAGAATATATTATTATCATATGATTCGAGAAGAAAAAATGAATCCTCTTAAAACCCAAAGAATGACAAAGAGTAAATTCATCTGCGCTAATGTAACCAATTCTGAGTGATATTATCTAACGTCTCCAGCCATTTGTTACGACAATCGCACAAACTCCAGTCAGGTAAAACAAACTTAACAACATAGCTCATTTCAAAAAGTAGAGTAGAACCATAGTATTTTATCAGCATTTATTATTGACAGAAAATTAGACGCGTTGGTTATGGAATAAACAACATTTGCAACTGATTAAATCATGATTTCTGTGACTTCAAAATAAGCCATAATGTCCAGTAGCTTACAAATAAATACATTCACGAAAATTCAGTATCTTCATTGTGTCCTAGATGATCAGATTTTAAATAAATAAGGGTGATAAACTCTGCGAAAAAAGGTAATGATTAGAAAGTGTTACTAGAAATGATTTTTCTAAGTAATTTATCTTATTTAACAGCTAAGAAATAACAATCTTGGCATGTGAATTGATGGATTATAATTTCATACATTAAAGTATACCAGAACTCGTGCAGTCCAAACACATAGGGAATGGAACAGGTATCATTCATAAAACCGCATGATCATTGCAAATTAAGCGAATTCGGGAATATGAACAATTGAATTCCAAAATATTTTTCTGTTCAATATACTTACATCCAACCTACTGAGTTGTAACATCAAAATACAATTCATTTTTCTTTTGTACAATAGGTGATTTATTTGATGTAACCATTGATATATCAAGGTATAGTTACTCAAGAATAAGTCAAATCGAATAAGCTCAATTATTCAATCGCTAAGATATGAAATTTACGCGAAAGTTGGATCATTGAATTCATATCTAGTCAGCAAGCCAGTCACAACGTAGAACCTGGTACGTATGTACATTGATCCGAGTTGTCATACCCCATTAGTACAGAGAGATGAAATTGTCAGGCTGAATCCCAGAATAGTAGAAGTAGTAACAGTATTAGTGGTGACTGAAAACATACGATTCAAGAAAATATATCTTAGTGAAGCGAAAACAAAAGTTATGAGGAATTAAAGAGCTAAGAATGTGGGTGAAGAAAAAGAACAGATGTACCTGAACCATTGCAAATTATTCTGAGCCATGTCAATCAGAGTCTCTAACCATTGATTAAGATAATTACGTAGACCCCGACCAGGTAGTCAAGACCTATTAACGTGGTTCAGTACACTTTCCAATAACTTTATGGACTGATAACATGTTTTGGTTTGCTCGCCCATAGCTTTCTTTTAACCTACTTCTACACCGAAGATCATCCTTCGAGGTAGGTGGGCATATGTAACATATGTCCCAAACACCTCAGTGTTGGGGTGATCCAGAAAATTTCTTGCAAAAGATAAGCAAGGATCTGGAAACATTAAAAAGCATTTCATCCAATCAGCGTTTAATTGAAGTTTTAGCCAGAAACATCAAGGAAGTGAAACGTCACATGTAGAGGTCCTGATTGGCTGATTGGTATACTTCTACTAGGTTTAGTAGCATTCCAGAATCTTCGAGAAACCCAAGGACATATAAAAATACTATATTTTCTGTGCTAAAATGAACCATTGGAGTAAAGTATTTCTCGCATACTTTGCGCCTTCTCTCTCGTGTTCAGGTCGCTGTATAGTTCTAGCTTGGGGGTTACAGAATAGCTAAGGAAACGAATATAGCGTTCAATTTGCAAGACTGATCACTTAGTTGATGAAGACTTACTACATCATCAACCGACTTACCATCCTACTACCTTATTGCTAACCCAGGCATGGCTTAACTCCGTGATCCAAAAAATACACGAGCAATGCTTCGAAAACACCTATGATCGACTCCTAGTGCCCATGAATATCCTCTCTTCTTAATGGCCATGTCTCTCACCTATAAAGTAGAGCGGAGCGGATTGCTGCACAGTAAACTCATCTTTTGGTTGGTATATGGATATCTCGCCTACGCTATAAGCGAACGTCCGGCGCTCTAACCGGGTTGGCAGACATGGAGAATTCACCTAGGGGAGTTAAAAAACCCTCATTCCAAACTATTGGTGCACACGGGCTCCAGTATCCTGCGGGAGCAAATGGAGTATGAACCAATCGTTGGTCACCAGCTACCATGGGATTGCATCTCCTTACGTTGCTCCACTGCCTTGTGGATCAGACCTTCAGGTCGAAGGCTCCGGGTGTGGCCCCTCTAAGGAAACCACCTGTTTCGGTTTGGACACCCGGTCAGTATCACAGCCCTCAAACATATCGAATGAGATTTGTGTGGCGTATATGTATTTGGTGCCTCCTTGTACCAATATCTATGTGTTAAAATAAATAAATAAAAACATAAGTTGGCAAAAACCATCATCTATTTAGAAACGCAAGAAAAATTTCCCGTAAGATTGTATTCAACAACGAAAAAACAAACCACAACTTACTTTCACTTCCTGTAGCTACAAAATCTTCATTAGCTCCACCAAATGTAGAATACAAACGAAAAGTATCTTGTTTATGTCCAACAAATCGTTGTAGAATAGCACAAGCTTCTAAATCCCATAAATGTAATCCCTTTTTTATGTTCAATTTAAGAAAAAAAGAAGTAAATAATTAGAACAAAATCAATAGTGTTTTGTATGTGATGTAAAAAACATTTAACAGAAAATACAATATTAAATAAGTGAAATAGTACATATTATCTTTTGTTAATTAAAAAGCAGCTTTCTCATTACTGTTTCTATAGTTGTTGTTTTACAGAGATAGATATTCATGATTATTGATTGAAAGGAAAAAGTAATTTTGTTTGAAAAGATATGAACCAAGGCAAACATGTGACCCATTACATAACATCATGTCAGATGTAAGTAAATAGCTCAGATGAATTGAATAAAACAATGTTTGAAGCAAACTAGCATTAATTAATTTAGAAAACATTATAAAAGTAGTTTTAAAGTGACATTTTTCTAACCAAAATCTTATTGATAAAACTATGAGATAGAATTATTATTATCAAAGTGAGAATCTTCAATACCAAAGTCAAGGCAAATCTACTGTATGGAGCTGAAACTTGGAGAACCACAACAACCACCATCAAGAAGGTACAAGTATTTATAAATAGCTGTCTTCGCAAGATACTCAACATCCATTGGCCGGATACCGTCAGCAACAGCCTTCTGTGGGAGAGAACAAATCAGCTTCCAGCTGAAAAAGAAATTAGGAAAAGACGATGGAAATGGATAGGACATACATTACGCAAACCACCCAACTGCATCACGATACAAGCCCTAACTTCGAATCCTGAAGGAAAGCGGAAAAAACGAAGGCCAAAGAACACATTACGTCGGATAATAGAAGCAGATATGAAAAGGATGAATAGGAACTGGAAGGAGCTGGAAAGGATTGTCCAGGACAGGGTTGGATGGAGAATGCTGGTGAGTGGCCTATACTTCTTCACGGGGAGTAACAGGCGTAAGTAAGTAAGTAAGTAATGAGATAGAATAAGAAATCATTCAAGAATATATGAGAAAATTAGTTATTATGAATAAAATCAATGAAAAGTTCCATATTATGATGAAATAGTTGTTAAATATTTCCTAGTTCTAAATACTATGGCAACTCGAACTGATGTACGTACGTACGAAGTTCTACGTTGTTACTGACTGACTGACTGAAATAATATCTAAATTGATGTTAATCTGTGATGAAAATTATCTACGAATTAAATGAAGAATATGCAAGTTTAAAATAGAATTTAATTGTTGATCAAAACTATTAGTAGATTATGAATCTTTATTAACTTATATGGTTGAGACATGTTACATAAGTCTGAACATCAAAACTAGGTTAACTTTATATCTATGACCAAGCTAAAAGTATTCGCCGACAGAATGGATAACAAAATTTGGATTGATCACTTTATTTTTCTATTAAAAAAATGACAATAAAATCTTATGATCAATCTAATTTCAGCATCTCAGACCAACGCACAAACACAATAACGTTTATGAGAATATGTATATATTTAAGTATAAAAACATGTTTTGATAAATACATATACAAAAAGCATAATTAAAATCAGGCGCAGGGTAAAGTCAGTAGCTTAAGATCAGATCTTTTGGTTGAGGGTTGATGATGGTGCCTGGCTCTCTTCTAGACCAAAGCAAATGAAAAGAGAGATTCAAACTAAGCAACATTATCAGAGGAAATAGATCCCTTTAATCATTGCTCTACATTTAAACACATTTAAATAACTAGGTAATATCAATAGACTTTATAATTACAATGTACATCAAAGCTAACCATCTGGTAAATGAGTTTCATTACTGTTGTGGATGCGGAGGAATAGACCAATAATTATCATGTTAAGTCCAATGGTGTCCTTGGACTTTAAATGGACATTTCCTATTGGTCGATATCTGTTCACTTGTTGAATATTGTACAAAATGTTGTTTTCTATTTTTATGGTACGATGTGGTATGCTTGATTGGTATATAAACAAAGTGTTTGAAATATAATGATTCATAACTCAGAGGTTGTGACTTGTGTTTCTTGACTCAACTGGCTGGGACAGACAGTGAAGCAGGGCCAATCAGGGCACTAGGTCGTCCGTACGTGTTTCCGTGTCACTGTAATCGGTCGATCGATATAAACGCTGCTTATCAAAACCTGCAGTCACACACGTTACAACAATTACTTTTTTAATCTTCAAGCTACCACAATGTTTTACTATAAAACACAAATAAATCACAACTTATGTTGCCTTCCCATCTCTCGTTAAAATTAACGACTAAGTGTACTCAGTAATTTTTGATCATTATTATTATCATTATTTTGTTACATTTCTCAGTGAGCAGTGACATCAAGTGTATGAAGTAAAAAAAACAACAACAACAAACAGATCCATTTACTCATGAAAAGTGTCAACTGATAAATTACAATTTAGTAACGTTTAATTATTAATCATCAGAAGGGGTTTTGTGGAGATTTTGGAAATTTCACTGATTGAAATTATGAGTCAATTGAAGCTAGATCACCATGGAAAACTTAGAAGCACTGGACGGCCGTTTCGTCCTAGTATGTGACTCCTCAGCAGCACGCATCAAGTTGTGACATAGTAACTCACTGATGACGATGGTGGATGTGTCGCTCAATTTCGTGGATTAGTTGAAGCTAGAAATTAATACCGTTGGATGCGATATTCGAACGTAGGACCTATCAGTCTCGCGTCAGGAGCTTAACCAACTAGACCACTGGGCCGGCTGTCATCCAACGGTGTTAATGTCTAACTTTAACCAATCCATGAAGTTGCGCCACCGTACACCATTGTCTTTAGTGAGTTGATATCTCACAACAGACCTCGTTGAACTCCACCGGTAACGGCTTCTCACCAGAACTCCAGGAGTATCTCTTGAAGTCAGTCACTAGTGAGCAGATGATTATTATCAGAAAGGGTTTTGTTGAGATTTTAGAAATTTCACTGATTATTATTAATCAGTTCAAGCATGTGTAACTTATACAAAAGAATAAAAGTACTTTAGCGGTTATATTTAATAACTAAAATTTTAAAATCTGTAGAAGTACTTCTATCAGATAAATATACATTGTGCATTATAATGTGGTTGGCCAAAAATTATCCAAAAAAATAATATTTTCTATTAAATAGTAGTATGTTAGTGAATAAGTCGAATTGATGCAATGCAAGTCTAATGTATCAGATCATAATCCATAAAAAACAAGGTTAAATTTGTATATTGCAGATTTCCATTTTCAATATTAAGTGTTTAAAACATAATCATACACACACACACACACTTAAGATCTTATATATAATAAATGTATACATTCACATGTTAACCACTTACAATGGAATTGATTTTCTAGAATACAACAAAACAACCGATGAAATATCTGAATGAATGTATAATGTGAGCATGTATATGTTCAATTATAAAACTTAATAATTTACGTTCATTGTTGAATAGAAAACTGTTAAAATAAGTTTATTCCACTTGAGAAGAGTTTAGACTGAAAAGGAAAAAAAGTAGTGAACTTGATACTTAGCCTCATATCCATTGACCAGATATCATCAGTAACAACCGACTTGTAGAACACAAACCAGTATGTAACTGAAGAGGAATTTGAGGAAAGACGATGAAGGTGGACAGGACAAACATTGAGGAAACTATCAAACCATCGAAAAATTATATCATATAGTAAACTCTAACTTGGAGTCCTCAAGATAAAAGGAAAAGAGGAAGACCAAAAAAACACATTGCGACGGGAGTCAGGGGTAGACATCAAAAGAATGAATAGCATTTGGCAACAATCAGAAAATCCAGGATAAATGTGGTTGAAGAATCCTGGTAGGTGGTCTGTATTGCACGAAGCCTAATTAAGTTGATGACGATGAAGCATTTAGGATGTAAACGCTTGCGTTTTACCCTTCTGCTGCATCCCAAACCCATCTACCAGATTCAGTATCATCAACTTTGAATAACCTAACTATTAATATCGTGACTTTCATATCTTTTGCTACTTTACGATGGATAATAAAATTCATGAATGATGCACAGAAGTTTCAGTGAACAAGCTTCCGAACGCTTTGATGTAGTCACTGACTGTGATGAGACTAGATTTCCTAACGTTGCTCCATTGTCTTGAGGATTTGACCTCTAGTCAAAGGCTCAATGAGTGGTCGACCCCTTAAAAAATCATCTGGTTCGGTCTTGGAGTCGGGGTAGTATCAACGCCCACACAAAAATATGGTAATGAATAATTATGAAGAAAATGTTCTATCGCTCCGCCACTCTACTCTTTAAAACGACATTCGTAATCATTTTATTACATGCTAATTTAGTTTGTATTGCTTCAACTTTCTATTCTTTTTTATTTTCATTCTATTTACAGCTCAACTTTATTCGAAGTTCTAACCCATCTAAACGGTCTTAAATTGCTGGACTATCGGTTTTACGAATGCTGTCATTGATTAAGGGATCTGATAGTTCCCCTAATTTTACGCGTCATTTATAACTACTTCACTCGATGTTTGTACTTTGATGCATGTCGGAGAGCTGATAGGTTTAGCTGTCTTTGCAAAAACCTTGCAAAACCTCCGCATACACACCGATGAAACAAAGATGAGTTCTACAAATAATCAAACCAATAACTCACGAAAACGCATTCGACAAATATTATGGTGTTAGCTCGAGAGATTTGAATGATAAATTCAGGTGTCTAGATATAGACGAGAAACGGTTGGATAGCTAATTAGGACGTGATAGTCACAGACTAGAAAACGGTTAATTCAACGTACGGCTTTGTCGGTCAAACGCGACGTAGGATCTGGTACATGCGTACAGTTTAAGTTACCACACCTCATTGGCACAGAGAGATGAAATTGTTAGGAGAAACCTCAGAGTAGTAGAAGTAGTAAGAGGATTAGCGGTAATAAAAGAGATTCGGCGTCGAAGATACAATTCGAGCAGAAAATATAAATTAGTGAAATCAAAAGATTATGAAGAATTTATAAACTTAAGATCTAATAGAAGATAAACTGTTTCTTTCCAGCGCCACAGTCAACGCCAATGTGCTATTGAGAGTCTCCCTTTTGCAACACAAACCCGGATTTGGACTGGTCGTATTGCAACCAGCTACGGCTGACATGAATACGTACAAGATTGTTGCTCCTTTTGGAACACCTATCTTGTCTATGATCATTCCACAGTTTGTTGAATAAGTAGTTATTACCTGATCCTAGCCAACAATCAATAGGTGGCTCACGTTTTCATGAATTATATTTTCTTGGTCAAATGTCTACTGGCGCGCAATGTAATTAATCGAGGAAATATAATTCATGAAAATATGGTGGACATACTAAAGGAAAATTTAGTTATATACCAATAATCAATAAAAGAGAGAAGAGTAATCGAAAAATAATTTGTTTATGATAAACTTTATCATGTGGGACCATAATTGATTCATACTTTCATAGAAGGAAAAGAAAATCATTCACATTGGAGATAAGTGCAAGAAAAGCCATTAAAATATTGATATAAGTTACTTTATGATAATAATAGTGATAAAGAGTGTAGATTAAATAATAATGAGAATCACTATCGTGATATTCCCTGGTTAGTTAGCTGACGGACATTTTCAAATAGTGTTCAATATTCGATTAATGGTGGATGATAAAATTTCATGAATTATCAACTAGGTTAATATAAATTTAACCTTCAATCTGGTCAGTTTCTTTTTGATGTACTGCGATGTGAAGCGTGTGTGTGTGTGTGGACGATTTGGACTAGTACATGTTACTTGTCCTATACCCTAAGTTATAAATAACTGACTGAAGTGACTATTTATGGAATTGATTAAGAAAAGAGAGATTATATCATTGTAGGTGAAATGAGGTTCAAATCTGGAACTTATTAACTGAAATTTGAACAACTTAACCCAATGAAATAGATAAAATGAAACGGTCACGCTATAAAACAACGTTTTGTTTTGTGAATGGATACAAAAATTGCATAACTCAACACCTAATGCCTCTTTCTATCAGATATATCTGATTGATTACTCTTAACAATTTATAACAATCATATATTCTTATTGAGAAACATGAAGTTGCAGTATAAATATTGATCATTTAAGGAATTTTAGACAAAAATCCAAAAACATTAGTTGTGTACTCTATATTAGTGTAATCACATAACTATTCACATGTTAACTGGAAATATTAAAATTTCTTTATATCACTTCATTTTTCCCCCACAGTTTCTATTAAACTAATTTATGATTAAAATAACAGTTAATTTTAGTTCCTTTTATAAACAAGAAAATATAAATTACTGACTGATTGAACTTACCATTTTATGTATAGTAAGAAGTGCCATAGTTCCTGAGCGTGAAATCATAATTGATTGAACAGGATGAGTTTCTTTAAAAAGAGTTCTATGATCTATTAAGCCATAATTACTGCCATTTGTAGACAGGCTACTAGCATGAGCATTTGTAGTTGTACTGGTTGTTGATGTAGAAAATCCAGTCGCTGGTAGAGATGCTGAAACTGTAGTCGGATTAATTGGAGATCCAGTAGTAGTACCAATAGTAGAAGTAGATGTACTCACGGTGGAGCCAATATTTGTTACGGAAACAGATGAACGACCTGTAGCTGCTCCACTATTATCAGGTGATGTAGACACTGTTAACATTGTTGTACCACTGGAGACAGAATGAACTTGACGACTGTTTACACTGGCTAACGCGGCAGCTGCAGCAGCTAAAGCTCGTACACCTGTCGGATTGGTTGTTACTGAACTAGAAGTACCAACTGGAGTAGTTGCATAAGAAGCTGAAGTTCTATCCAAAGGAGCACCGAATAAAATAGTTAGACTACTACCAGTAGTGCCTAGACTATTTGCACCAGATGATGATACAACTGTGTATGGATTTGAACCATGCAAAGAACCAGCTGGATGCAATATAGGCTGAAGACCTAATTGAGCTTGCAAACCCTGAGTTGTGGGTGGTCCAAGACGAGTTAAACTGACAGGCAGTATAGGCATATCCAATAAAATACCCGCTGAAACAGTAATAATCAATAGTTACGAAACTTATATAACTCACCAGTTACGGAGATAGAACTACAGTAACCGAAAATTCATTAAATTTTCAAAAATTTGACTAAAATCAGTTGAAAAGAATTTAGTGGCCCCTGATTGAAAATTTCAAACGGAGGGGGGGGGTACCGATGAATCAGGTGCTATGACAACTGTATCCTGATTGATTCCTACGGACATTAAAACTTCAAAAATGCGCTTCATGTTGTATCATTGTCATATAAAGCAGAAACAAACCTTTGACTTTCTTTTGTCTTCTGAAAAGTTTGGGAGCGGGTAAAATGTCATTGAGGTCATATCAAAAGTTCATTTAGAAAGTATTTTGAGTTCCATGAGCTTGTTGCATAGCTAGAAACGAGTCATCACATTAGGAGATTCTACTACATTTTGACTGTAAATTTCTCATGATTGTTATGGTCGGGATCTTCAAAAACTGATATGTTGGATCTACATGTGAAGTACGGTTTGATGATACAATACATTGTCTTGAGTAAACTAAACATTCATACTAATTAGTCACATTTCAACAAGAGAAATAAAAAGGAGCTTGAGTATATGTTGCTACCGTTACAGTATAGGACATTACTATTACTATCATAACATGGAAAGATCTTAAGCCCACACAAACCTGACGATATTAATCAGTTATAAAAAGCTGATTCATCATAAATCCGAATACAGTTGTAAAACCGGTCATTATTACCTTGTTGTATTTGACATTCTAACGATAGATACCAGATATATGAAATGGACATTTTTCAACTTGAGAATATCAGCGAGGAGAGGTCGTTTACAAATCATACTCAAGCGTTAAGTAAAAAACGCGTTAAAACCAATAAATCACATAGACATAAAATGATTAAAGTTTATGTACATCAATTCAATACAAAATAGTTGATTTAACAGTAAAGGATCCGGAAAACTAATATTCCAAATAACATGGCGTATAGTTGTATTATGGTTTGTTCACTGTCAAGGGCATCAGAATTCCGTGGTACGACCGAAACTGAGGAGAGTCTGTTCCCCTTCTCGAAATGTTCTCACATGGCTACACATATATAGCCTCTGCCAGGGAGATACTACTTGCTGCCTTCTCGCGGCATTACTGTTGTTTACGAAATCGAGAAGACGAAAAGAGAATGTCCGCCGATTAAACCGGGTTGGTTGTTACGAAAGATCCAACCCAGGAGAGCTAAAAAAACCATGGATCCAAACCAATGCTCCATATGGGACCCGGAATTCTGGGGAGAACAATGGCGTTTGAACCTATTCTTGGTTACCGACTATCATGGAACATCACCTGCTAATGTTTATCCACTGTCTTGTGGTTTAGACCTCTGGGTCAAACGTTCGGGGAGCAGATCCCTAAGAAAACTACCTGTTTTGCTTTAGGGACTCGGACGGTATCTCATCCCAATCAGTCACAACGTAGAACTTGGTACCGCATGTACATCGGTTGTTGTTGTCATAGCCCGTTAGCACGGAGACGAAGTTGTCAGGTGAATTACCAAAATAGTAGAGGTAGTAACAAACTGAATGATAACTATTTTGTGTGGCACATATATTTTGGTGCTATTCTGTACCAATGTTTGTGTTTAAACAAATAAATACAGATTTTGATAATCCACTATGATTTTTCAAAATTATGTGCTGATGAATCTGGTATCTAGGAAAACAATGAAAATCTCACTATTAAATTATCCAGTTCAGAGAATACAACACCTAAACTCTCATCCTGAGCTATAGATATTCTCCAATATTTTGACTATTATTTGATTGGATACTATTTGTAATGCTTACGTGGTAATGTAGAAGAGCTTGATGTATACGCTAGACTTGTTGATCCTTGATATGCACCAGATTGTTGATACCATGAAGATAAATTACCAGTTAATGTTGATGCCGGATTTGTTGTTGTCATAGGATTTGACGATTGTAATAAACGTTGTTGTTGTTGTTGTGCTAATCGTGCAACAGCTAATGCTGTCGCTACACCAGGATTTTCTCCTGTAGTACTTGTGGCAATTACACTATTATTGTTATTATCACTATTATCACTACTTCTAACATTACCCGGATTAGTTGTACCAGTGCTAGCTGATGTAGAAATATTAACTGAAGTTGGAGCACCTGGTGCACTCCCACTTGAACATAAATAGGCAGCTAATGCTGATGCAGTAGTAGTACTGATACTACTACTGCTAGTAGTAGTTGTTGTTGTTGCGATAGTTGTACTGGTTGTAATCTCCTCACCAGGTGCATGAGCAAAAGATGAAGCAGACAGAGTCGAAATGGTTACAGTCGATATAGATGTGGTACTAGTTTCATGTGGTGTGGTGACTGTACTTAGTGGTATGTCAGCAGTATCCGCTGTAGTATTTGTATTATTAGATGACGTATTTGAACAAACTAAACCAAATCTAAATAATCGAATTCTATGTAGGCTATCTGCAACTAACAATTGGTCAATTTGATTTTCTGAACGATTATTCACTGCATCGTTTGTCGAACCATTTTGAAGTAATCCATTTGCTGGCGAATCTGGTGCACCTGGAGTAGATCTATCTGGTGGGGGGTTAACTTGGACAGATTCTGTGCCATTAGGCAAAAGCATACTTGGTATCGGTGGGAATATAGCCGCCATACTTTGTACACGATAACCTTCAACCACGGCAAGTACACGACCCTGATCTTCCGTATCCTAGTAACAATAAGTATACAAAAAAGAACAGACCAATATGAAGTTTAAAAACTTACAAGAAACATGGCACAATAGTACAGTCGCTCAGTACTAATAATGGGTGTTAAAATAGCTAAAGACTGATTGTTAGAACAAAAATAAATAGTAAGCTAAAGATCTAAGTTAGCAGAGATCACGCATTAAAAAGTACCACATCTATCTCATCTATCAGCAAACAAATAATAATAAGTATTTGCCTTTAAATCGTTAGGTCGTGGGTGAGAACCCCTCACTTATTTCGGTCCGACCAGACAGGATAGTACCACTAGTGTTCATATACAGACACTGTAATTCAAAGCTAAGTACAAAAGCGTTTACTTGATAAATGAGTTATAGCAAATACTTGTAATACAAACAGATGATACCTCACACGTTGTGTTCAACAATATTCTATCAGATTTTGAATGAGTAGCGGGAAAAGATGCGTAATATAACGAACAGATTTTGAAATTTATTTTATAAAATATTCGTGAAGTTAACCACTCTTACAAACTTACCATTACATAGAAGCTCCCTTTCAAACCACCAAAAGCTAGTTTACGACTATCAGAGAAAAATGAGGCGGTTGAATAGACATCTTCATCGTTTACCTTCTGGCTGCATAATTGTTGACCACTGAATACATCGAATACTAGAACGGAACTTTGTTCTTCTCCACAACAGGCTGCCAATCTGATAAAAAGAAAATGAGCTATTCAAGTGAAGTTTGAGTACAGGACAGTCGTTGATTTATGAAATATTCATGACCTACTATGAGCGGACAACAGGCTTAGAAAACGTTTATGTCCTTTTAAAAGGACGAACAAACAGAAAAAACGATTAAAATAACGTAAGATTTAAGTGACACGATTTACAAGACTTCAATGAGTATATTGCTGTCATCACTTCTAATCAACATTATTTCCCACTGTAAAATTATACTATATCATAGAACTTGATAAGTGAGCTAACACAACTAGATGACATGTTTTCTAATCGGCTAGTACATAATCAAAGAGATGGATTTACGCATGAGAGCTGGAAGAAAAATATCCCTGGAGCCTTTTGTAGGATAAAAGTATATATTTTATGGATGATAGCAAGGTGTTGATGTTGTGACACATAAAAATTAATCGCTATGAAAACAGACAAATGTTAATGTGATGTTATGACAATTCACTAACTTTAAAAGTGATAGATTGAGATTAATAAAGATATAAATGAATCAATCCCTAGTTATGTTAATCAGAGTGTAAAGTCATTGAGTGATTCATAACTAGGGACTTGAGAAAAGACCGTCAGTGACTCCATAGTTTGATATCTCCTTGGTCTAGCAGGTCAGAAGTGTACAGAAATAAAATTTACTTTGGCAGATACAGTAGATTTTTTAAATTTCGAAAAACTAACGTCACCCATTGTTGGTGATATATCACCTATCTCAACACAAAACATGTATTAGGTGGCGGCGTATACAGTCATTCCAGAAAACATCGAGAAAGTGAAAAACGAATGGAAACAAATACGTATCCCAAATAACTTTGCATTAATATGTGACACGTAATCTGTTCACAAATATAAGGGAACTGAAGTTATAAAAACGATTTCAACATAATGTATGATATATAAGTTTCTTCTCCAAAATATTCACTGTTTGCAGCAATACGATTTCTTTCCAGTTTTTATTGCTTCAGACATCCATGAAAGTCATTAGATGTCAGACACATCAGTTGACATATTGTTCTACGTCTTACCATCCATTGCATGCTTAGTAGTTTCACATTTTATCTTGTACTCTTAGAATCCAAACTCGTTTTTTGCAACACATATGGCTAAGTATCAGTAACTTTCAAACGATTTTATGACAATTTTTCCGATGCCAAATACTTTGTTAGAACTGTATGTAAGGACGATTTTCCCAAACTCACATTATCTGTGATCATCTGCACAGCAAATGAGCGACCGAAAGGCACAAGAGATGGTACATTTTGAAAGTTTTAGTCAACATGATGACTTTTCGGAATTAGCAACTTAAGTGGCTCAGTTCATGTATTTATTGGGAAGAATACTATAAATCACATCAACGTTATGATTTACAGAGACTTTTACAGATACTGAACAAATATTTTTAAAATATCACACTAACTTTGACTAAAACATATTAAATTTCGATGCATAGTTTACATTATAGCCAAATATCAACCTGGTTAAACAAATACAATGAGATGATAGTATATTAAAGAAATAAAAAAGTATTATAATTATATACTTTTTAGAATCAGGTGACCAACACAGACAGCCAATATATGCAGGTGTAGTTAATACTCGGAAAAATGAGACAGCGTGTCGTACAGAGTCTACACGCCAAACGTCAACATTTGCATCTTTGCCACCAGTTGCTAAATAGCTACCGTCTGGAGAAAACTGACAAAACCATAGATCAGAATCTCTTTGATGGTCCAAAGTTTGGATACAAAATGCTGGGAAATCTTGCCTAAATTGAGATTAAGAGTGAAAAATAGGATTATATTACAATGAGCTGTTAGGGCTCATGATATAATGATTTTGGCTGGAACTTTCGAATAAAAGGCAACACTGAAAAACTTTATTAAGGTAACCAACTATGAACTTCCTACCGAAAGATATCCAGAAGTCTTACTGCCAAACTGTAACAACCTAACACTAGTAGCATATTTGATCGTTGGCTAGCGTTAGAATCAAGGATATGCGTCAATTAGATGTTTCTATTATCCATTTTATTTCGCTTCAAGGCTTACCAAATATGCCATTGTCAACCAGTCATACGTAACATAAAACCCGACACATGCGTCTGTTCAAGCTCTCATACCTCATTAGCACAGCGAGATAAAATTATTTTAAGATGAATCCCAAGATAGTAGTCCCGAAATAGACGAGCGATGCCTCGAAGACACCTATGGTCGAATACTAGTACCCACGAATGTCCTCTATTATTGATGGCCACGTTCCACATCTGTAAAGCGGAACGGGGTGAACTGCTGAGTAGCAAACCCATCTTTTGGTTGACATACGGATATCTCACCTACTCCACGGGTGACGCAAGTTGTTGATGGTCAATTTAGTTTACTAAGTTCGTGTTGAAATTTTGTTAGCCACCAGCCCATCATGACTGGTGAAATTTCCGAAATAGGTGAAACGGTTGCTGCACTCGACTACTTCACTCACTATCATTAGTCTGGGCTCTGATACAGGCCATCACTGAATTGAAATTTTGAATTTGAAGGAGAGAATCTCATCTCAAACACGATTGTATGTTGCTTAAGATAGTTATAGGACTCTGTAATTTGTTGGCAGAGTCTTATGTTAGAGCAAGTGAGGTGTTAGTAACTTAATATAATTCATTAACCAGGTATAGCTTTATGTACTTGGCCTTCTGTAGAATATAAGCTGTAAGAGCTAGCTGACAAAGCTCAATTAGGTGCAACAGAGTCTGAACATACGATCAAATGATTGGTGGTAGTGTTTTTATCAATAGGCTACTACTAGACAAAGGCAACTGTAATCATCCGGCTAACCAAACCACAGTAGGTGAGGAGGAGTATGAATATTCTATTCGAGGTTCGGTTACTGAGTCATTGCACAACCGAGAACAAGATAGTATGGATTAAATTATAGATAGAACTGTTTTCCCTTGATTAAGTTATTAAATGTGAGCTTTTATAAAAAGTAATTACTGAAGGCAATTACATAATGATAAAATGTGTCATTTTATGGCAATAGTTTAAGTTAATAAATGTCCTTATATGTTATGAAGAATTAATACAGATATTGCACACTGATTAGGGGCGTCGAATTCTACCTAATATGTGACGCACTCCACTTTGAATAGTTAGGTAGTGTCATTAAACTTTATGTAATAAATTCAGTTGATATTTGGTTTTACGACTGTGTACATGATTACTGATTTATTGATAGATATGATGGAAGAAATGGAACGTTTTAGAAAATTGGAGAAAAATTATGCTGAAAACGTACCAAAAACGCTACTGAATTACGATGTTTAATAAGAATATGGTTTGCTTATTTTGAAGTCATTAAATAAAAATTAGTGAATGCGGTAGACAGTCAAAGTAAATATAACATAACGAACTATCTCTAGTCTAATAAATCAGACGGTGGGCTACACTACTTTAGTGTCTGGGAACAAAAGCCGTGAATTAACCCGTTTCACATCACTTTATTGGATCAGTCAGGGGTTTTCAACCACTAGACATTGTTCAAAAAGTCAATCACTGTATTTCTGATACCATTCATAGCTAAGTATCGGGCGATAACGTTGTTATGCAATAAAACAAACGGTTTGTATAAATAATTACATGCCACACGAATGACGCTGTAGTAATGATATATTATGTATATCAGTTTGGACACCCATCGGAGGATTATGAAATATGCATGAAGCCAACTGTGCACGAACAGATTCATTGATCAACTCTTCTAGTCTCCCAGGTGGTAACATTGTCTGTGCTGGTATAAAGGCTTGTATTCGATTGATAAGTTGTAAACGACTCCCAGCATCTACTCCAGCCCAACCACCTGCTTGTGCTTGGAGTTCAACAGCAGTTCTACACATCAAACAACTAAAATTTGAAGAAAATCGTCGAAAAAAAATAAATAAGTTAAAGATATAAAACAGTTAAGGAATATAGCTGATTGTTATAGGTCTGAGATTAGGAGATTACAACTTATACTTTACAGGCCGACTGAATAACTGAGACGTCTAGTGAGTGACACAGATTGAACTGATACAAAACTAAGTGGTTTAAAGGGTTAGATAACATTGCTTAGTGCAAGATACTACAGTTAACTGAAAAAAATAAGTATTTTATAGGTAATTAATGACAAGCAGCTTGACCTACGCGACAGAACTAAAAAATTCCATGAAGTGTTTAAGTTTATCTGAGTGTCATCAGCAACAAGAAGCACCATGTCTATGAGAAAGTGAATAAGCGTAAAGAAAACATGTCAGAACTTATCGCGATTTTGGCTAAGTTTATGTTTAATTCTGCTGCTGCCTTGACGCGGTGGTCGGCTTGCCTATCGTGATGATCCAACCGAGATACATTGTCTGGAAAACATGTTCCTGTAGGTTCTACCATGCCAGGCAGGTCGATTGGAGACTAAAAGCAGCAACTCAAGTTCTGAGGGCGAAGTCTTACCGCTGACTGTAGAGGTGTGTGACAGCAGTGAGGTGTTTCCCTTGGACAACCAGCATGACAGCGATGCTGCCTTCCCACAAGGAGGGGTGGGGTTGGAAAAGGTCAACCTTAAAAATGTCACACCTTACCTTACCTCACGGATTTCCGTCTCCGGCGGTAAGGCCCTTTGAAGAACGGAGCTAACACATTAAAAGTCAGTCAGTCAGTCAGTAACAACGTAGAACTTCGTACGTACGTACATCAGTTCGAGTTACGCCACCACATTAGCACAGAGATGCACTTGTCCATTCAAATCCCGTAGTGGTAGAGGTAATAAGAGTATAAGCAGTAATCGGGAAGATTAGGGTTTGGAGATGTTATTTAAAGAGTATAATACAGTGAAAGAAATTTGGAAAGAGGAAAAAAGGGACATGAAGAATTCAGAAGATTAGAATTTGGGAGAACACAAAGAGTGGATGCACCTATGCCATTGCAAACGATTTTGAGCCATGTCATTCAGGGTCTCTAACCATCGGTTGCTATCATCTCGCGGTCCCCAACCAGGTAGTCTACACCTACCAACATAGCTCAGTTCACTTGTCAGTGACTTCATGGATTTGTGCCATGTTTTGGTTTGGCCGCCCCTAGCTTTCTTCCAACCTACTCCTATACCACTGAACATAGCACGTCGAGGCAGTCGGTCGTTGGGCATACGTAACACATTAAAAATCTTCCACGAAAAGGCCATGCGCGACCGGCCTCAAGCAGTTGTCCCTTGGGCTCTGTGGTCACGCTTCTAGGTCTTTAAGACCAACATTAATCCAATTTCCTTTTCAGGTTCCTCAAGAAATACCCTTCCACCGTGTGGGCAGCCGGGAAGTGACATCAGCCTTCATACCCGTAACACCACACGAGACCAAGTTGGTCACATTCAAATCCTTCCTACACCTTCTAATACCTCTCTCATCTCCACGACTGACCCTTCTCACGTCCGTTTATCACCTCTCACCGCTAGGGCAAACGACTCGAGTCCTAGGGCAGAACTAGCTCTCTTAGACTGGATCCCAGTAGACAATCGTTTGTGCGCTGTCCGACTGAACGGAACAGTAAAGACTCGGAAAGATAGAGACACTCTTCGTCGTCTCTGCCCATTCTCTCACTGTATTTATTTATTATTTTATTTGAACACATAAATATTGGTACAAGAGAGCGCCAATATATATGCGCCACACAAAACAATGGGAATTCGAAGAGAAAAAAAAAAACTAAGGAACGCAAAAGAAAAAGAGAGTAATGACGAAGAGGTACAATCAGAAGAAATCTTTCAGGTAAAGGAGACATAACCACTTTTTATGAAGAAAGTAAAAGAAGGTTACAGCAGGATCGCCACTGGCTTCTATTCTGAACCATATCTGATAACGTCTCTAGCCACTGTGTAGCACCATCTCTCGGACCCCAGCCAGGGAGTCGTGAAGGACCAACAGAAGCCAGTCCTTTGCCGCTTTCTTTCATGCCACGACACCATGTCATGCACTGACCACCTCTCCGCTTCTTCCAACCAGTCCCAGAGTCGGCAAATAATGCACGACGTGGAATTCTCTGGGACGACATTCGGAGAACATGTCCAAGCCACCGAAGTCGGTGTTTCAAGATGGTGACACCAATTGAGTTATCATCTCTGTGCCCGAACACACGATGCCGAACCTCTGCATTACTGACATGGTGTTGCCACTGAATGTCAGCAATCCTTCGGAGACAGCGATGATCGAACACAGAGAGTCGTCTAACGTCCTCAACTCGGAGAGGCCAGGTTTCACAAGCATAGAGCAAAACTGCTCTCACCGACGCGTTGTAGATCCGGCCTTTTACAGCCAGACTAACATCACGAAGGCGCCAAAGGTGGCCCAGATTGGCATAAGCCGCTCTGGCTTTCACTATTCATGCATTGATCTCATCACTCACACCCCCACCAGCACTTATGCAGCTACCCAGATACACGAACTTCTCAACTACGTCTATCTGCTCACCATCCAGGGTCAGTACAGGATTAGAATCCTGCCAGTCTTGTAGAAGTACTTTGCACTTCGAAGGTGCAAAGCACATACCATACCTACGGACATTGATTGCCAACTGATTAAGTGCGGATTGCATGCCTTGGGCATTATCGCACAGTAAGACAATATCGTCCGCATACTCAAGGTCGAGAAGTCTTTCTCCAGGCAACAGATCCACACCACCATTACTTACATTCATCAGAGCTGTTTCCAGAATGTCATCGATGGCAAAGTTGAAGAGGAATGGTGAGATTGGGCAACCCTGCCTAACCCCACTGCTCGAATGGAACAATGGAGAGAGGTGGTTGTATGCCCTCACTCTGCCTGAGGTGTTTTTATACAGGGCTTTTAGGATGTTAATAAACTTCTCAGGCACACCCTTCTTCAATAGACAATCCCAGAGAACAGTCCTATCCAACGAATCGAAGGCAGCCCTGATGTCAAGAAACACTACGATTGTTGGCCTTTGAAAAGTATGGCGGTGTTCTAACATTTGGCGGAGGGTGAAGATATGATCAATACATCCTCGACCAGAACGAAACCCAGCCTGCTCCTCGCGAGTCAATCTTTCTCGGGTTTTGAACAACCTACGAAGAATGACGGAAGCCAATAGCTTGGACGCAATCGGAAGTAAACTTATCCCCCGATAGTTGTTACAAGAACGACGTGAACCCTTTTTAAAGATAGGGACAACTATCGACTCATTCCATGACGTTGGTACACTCTCTAGTTCCCAAACCTTTGTAAACAACGTCGTCAATTCCTTAGTCAAAAAGTCACCACCATCTTTAAAAAGAGCCGGAGGTAAGTCATCTGGGCCAGGTGATTTGTAACGCTTCAAGAGTTGGAGTTCCTTGCGGACTTCCTCCTCATTTGGTGGATCAGTCGTCACCGGCCATGGAGGGCAGGACAGTCTGACCGATGTTACCGGAGCAGCAGGCCAGTTGAACTGCCCTTCGAAAAATTCTGCCCATCGTCCAAGACGTCGATGGATGTTAGTGATTGGCATCCCATCATCCTCGCAGATTGTTTCACTCACACCAGACTTCTTGCTGCCAGTGGCTCGGATGAGTTGGAAGAGCTTCCGGTAGTTACCAGATGCAGCTGCTGCTTCCAGCTCATTAGCACGCATCGACCACCAGGCTTCTCGGTCCTTACGCAAGCTTTGCCCGATTTCCTTACGTAAAATCCTTCGTTTATGGTCAAACTCACGGTTACCCGGAGTAGACCGACGGGCTTCAATGAGTTGTAAGGAACCAGAAGAAACCCAGTGCTTAAAAGCGGGACGTTTCGCAAACCCACAACTGACTGTTCCCGCCATTTTCATGGCGTCATGCAATTGCAACCAATGCTCATCTATACTTTTCGGTGGAGTGGTAGCTAGCCTAGAGGCTAGCTCGGTTCGATACTTACTTGCAACAGAAGTTGCAACCAGCTTGCTAACATCAATCCGTTGATGGCGTTCACTTCGTTGTCCACTGAAAAGTAAGGCAAGATTGGCGCAGACCAAGGCATGGTCAGAGTCCAGATAGGTACTCCAAAAGGAGCGGCAGTCTTGTACACAACCACGCCAGCGGTAGCTGATCGCGATGTGATCAATCTGAGTCCAGGCTTGACATGCAGAGGGAGGACGCCAGGTGGCACATCGGCGATGACTGTGCCGAAAGTTAGTGCTAGCCAGAAACAGGTTGTGGTCTGCGCAAAGTTGCAGTAGACGGTCCCCGTTATCTGACCTGCGACCAACGAGTCCCCATCGGCCACCTAAACGACTCTCTTCTGTGCCTAGACGCCCGACCTGAGCATTCAAGTCTCCGGCTAGTACTACAATATCTGTCGAACGCACTTTCTGGAGAAGAACTGATAACTGGTGGTAAAACTCATCCTTGATTGCATCCGGGCTGCAATCTGTCGGGGCATAGGCGGAGATGACGAAAAGACATCGTTTCTCACGCCGATTTCTTCTCACTTTGATGGAACTTTCTAATCTAACAGCACATAACCGACTGTTAATAGGGATCCAATCGACTAGTGCTGCCTCAGCTCTAGCGCTTAGTGCGACACCAACGCCAGCAAAACCAGACGAAGATGCCACAGGGTCCCCGGATAAGCGCACGTAAAACAAGCTTTTCGAAGCGACAGATGGAGATCGAATTTGTAGTACTTCGCCAGAGTCTTGAATACGGGTCTCGGATAGACAACACACGTCGATATTAAGACTTTCCAAAGACATAGCCAGCCCTATCTGTTGTCCGACCTGCATAAATGTGCGAACGTTGAAGGCAGCCAGTTTGAATGATGCACGTGGTTTCAGAAAATCTGCTTCAGTCCTCGTATTCGGTGGTAACATACAATTTACAACCGGACAGTGACTCGAGAACGTTTAGATAC